ATATATATATAAAAAAATATCTTATCTTTGACACCCATATTAATGCATGCACATTATTCATTTTAAACTTTACTTTACTTTGATACTTGAACTTTGAATATTTAACATGTTTAAAGTTTTTTACATTCATGTGAAAAGATTTAATGACTTCAGTCATATTTTTAATAAAACAAAAGCTATAGGTGCCTTTAGTATAGGTAAGGGGATAGTTAGAAAGAGAGACAAGTTATATAAATCAGGACATTTTGTATGCCTAACGTCTTAAAATGTTTGTGTTAAAATGTATTAGCTATGGCTAAAATACTTGAGTTGAATATTGTGTTAGGCGATGGATTTTTGTTCAATTTTTTATTCATATAGGGCTACATTGTATACACATTTAATATCAAGAAATATGCAGGTGCTGTGGCTTGCCCCGAGCAGTCCTTATAGCAAATACTTACTGCTTTGGCAGATGATCAGAGCAGACAACATTGCCTGGGACTAGTTTGTTAAAATTTTAGTATACACTATGTTTAATGCAGTCCTAAAGGGTTATTTATAATTTATAACTCTAAATTTGCCTCCAGCCTCTAACCTCTTTTGTTAAAAAAAAAAAAAAAAAAAAAGTGTTATATACAAACATACACAGCTTTATGGCTGCACACCTTTTTAGCAGAAACTAGGTTGGGCGTAGAAAGAACATTGTTTAAGAGGATATCTAGTTTAATTGAATATTTGGTTTAGAATTACATAGTCTGCGCAGAGGAGAATTTAGTAAGCCTGTAATAAATGGGTGCTTCTCTTGATTTTTCCAAGAAAAATAAAATTTTTCATATATATTTGGTTGTCTTTATGCCTAGTTACAGTATACTAATCATTTTGACTTGGGTTATATAAATAATAACCTCTGATTATTGCATTGTTTCATAGTGCTCCATGTGCATTGCTCGGTGCTCTGGAAGTTGTACCTTAATTGCGTGAACTTACTCTGATTTGACTGACACCCTCCAGCACAGGGATTGTCATTCTGTATGCATCCACTAGCTTAGAGCCATTTACAGCAGAGGCACGGTCTTAAATGTCCAGCATGCAGGTTACTTGCAGGTTTTTAATGTTTACTAGTGCTTCCCAGTATTGTGTTACAATGCCCTTCCAGTATTCCCAGTGTTGTCCAGGTTGTGTTCAGCTCTTGTTTGTCTTAACATTTCCCAGTGTTGTCAGTCAGTCCCGACCTATGATCCCTGTGTATTCCAGTATGTGACCTCAAGCATGTTCCTGTGAAATTTGTGTTCCCAAGAATGTATCCTTCCAGCATCCATTATTCCTTCACCCTCTACACTTCAGTCAGTTCCTTGATTGTCTGCACCAGTGCATTTCCTTGTCAATCTCAGCCAGCCTCTTATCAGCACCTATGCACTCTCATCCTGTGTCTCTCTGTGCCTCTGTGTTTTTGTGTTTTCCTACTGTGTTACTCTCAACCTAGTGTATCCAGAGCTGCAAGGGACTCCTTCATTTCCTGTGTTCTTGCAGCAGGTTCTCTGTTTCCTACCAATACCTGCTTATCAGAAGTTGTGTGTTGGGTTTTTTTCTGTGTTCTTCAGTCAGCTTCTTGTTGCTAACACCTGTGCACTTTTGTTCACATCCTACTTCTGTGTGATCCTGCACACCTTTGCCTGCAACCTGCTTCCTATGATCCCATATGATTCTGTGCACCTCAACCCATTGCCAGCAGCGCTGTTTGTTTTTTACACTCCTGCCTGCTTAGACTTTTACGCAGTGACCGGTCCCAGCACTGGTAATGAGTCTTTCCAGCACATGCATTCTCTGTTCTAGTATCTGCCTGCTCAGGTGAGTTTGAGGGCTGCAACCTGGGCATTGGCTGTAGACAAATCCATAACTACCATTAAGAGCTCTGGTGAAGACAAGGCAACACCTTCCTCCTCCAGTAGGAGCAGATTCCTTAATCCATGATAAGAGATCTTTTTTATAGCTTATATTTAATAGTTTTTATTGATTTTCACAAAGTTTAATAGTGTATACTTTGTCAGGTATAGCAGGGACATGTCCGTTTTACGAAGCCAAACATGGTTTATACAATATAGGCAGTAACCTTATAACATTGTTTACAACATAGCAGGTTCATAGTCGTTAAGCCTACTCAAATACTACATTTGGCATAACAATCCGTATATCTTTAAATCTGACCAAGGCATATTGCTTTAAGAAAGAATTAGAAACTTTAAAATAACTGTTAAGCCAAAGATAGAAAAAACAAAAGGTAACAAAAAACTGCTGTGTTTTCTTATCGTGGAGCTTCACTCTAAATGTACTAGAAGAGAGAAATGGTTGTGAGGGTGCTATGGATTGTTATAGCACTGGAGTAAGTGAATAGGTTACCTCACACTTTCCCAAGGAGACCATTGTGCATGAAATATATGTATTTGAGGCTGATTATATGCAATACATTTTTCATATTCATATGTTAATGCGAAATGTTGTTTAACCTCCATTGTGCTTGGTGGCTCATTGAATTTCCAGGTCATAGTTATAGCTAATCTAGCAGCCATCAATATATGTATAGTTAATGGTCTTAATTGAGTTGGGATGTTATCTATGCCAATACCTAATAATGCAAGTTCCAGAGCAGAAGTTATCAATCTGTAGATACCATTCCAGAAGCTTCTCAGGTGAGGACATGCCTAAAGCATATGGATTAAAGATCCTACTTTTCCACATCCTTTCCAACACTTATAATCATTAGATGGATCAAATTGTGCTTTAATATATGGAGTAACATACCATCTAAGGTGGATTTTTTGTAGACATCTCCCAATATGTAGAAAATTTAGAGAAGGAAAAGTTACTTATTGTGGCTTTGTGCCATTGATTTTCATGAATTGGGTGTTGGAGTATTAATTCTCACTTCATAAGAGGGGGTGATTTGGTAAATGTAGTTTTGTTCTGTAATAAAATATTAATTGTAGATATGCCTTTTCATTTTTATGAACGTCTCATTCCATAATAGCCAGGTTTTAGAGGGTTTAGTCAGAGATGGGATAAATGACGTCTAAAATAAGACTGTAAAGAGGCGTAAAGTAGAAATTCTGTGGTGGGAAACCATAATAAATCTATTAAATATTCTAGTGGTTGAATACCTTTATCATATATAATGTCTTTAATAAATATATCTCTCATTGCGGGCCAGTGGTTAAATAATTTATTTGGAAGTAAAAATTGTAATACAGCTAGAGGGAGAAGGATCTGAACATTTGGCTCGTTAGTGTTCTATGTTTTCAGGAAATATTTCCATGCCTGTTATGTAGCTGAAATGAAGGGGTGAGATGAAGAGAATATGAAGTGAGTAGCTGAATGAGCTAAAAGTAGATGCTTCAAAGAACCTCCGTCTACATAACTTTGTTCGATGGAACTCCATAATTTGTCTACATGTGGGTAAACCAGAATTTAGCCTGGCCTAAAACTGCTGCAGTATAATACTCTTTAAAGTCTGGAAGGCCTATTCCACCTGTTTTCCTATGTTTAATAAGAGGTTTATGAGAACATCTAGCTTTTTTTGTCTTCCCATATAAATTTAGGCAATATACATTGCATATCAGTAACAAAGGAGCTTGGGAGTAATATTGGAAGGAAGCAAAAATAATAGAGTAGTTTAGGAAGAATAAGCATTTAAATCCTGATAATCGCCCTGACCAGGATAAGTAAAATTTAGACCTCCCTATCTAGTTCATTTTGTACCTGTGCTAGTAAAGGGACATAGTTAACATCGTGTAATTTTGATAAAGGAGTGGTAATCTTAATGCCGAGATAAGAAAGTGGATCTTTAGACCAAGTATAGGGTAATTTAGTTAGTAGACTTGAAGATGTTGCAAAATCCACTCATGATGTGTAATTTAGCTTCATTTATTTTGTAATAAGAGATGTGTTTAAATCGTTGTAAGACTTTAAGAGCAGCCAACAGCTATATCGCCAGTGCTGTAAAAGTCAGCATGACATCGTCTGCAAATAATATGAGAGTGGTCGTTAATTGAGATTCCAGATATTTTAGAATTGGCCCTAAGTTTTTAAGCTAAAGGTTCCATAAGAAGAGTAAAGATTAAGGGTGATAAAGGGCAGCCTTGGCAAGTGCCATTAGTTATAGGAAAGTTGTTGGATATCATTCTTTCTGTGAAATCTTTGGCCAGTTGGGTTGTATATAGTGCCATAATGGCTGAATGGATGTTACCTGTTAAGCCAAATTTAGTCAAGGTATGGGATAAGTATCCCCAGTGTATGCAGTCAAACACTTTTTCCATATCTAATGTTAAAAGAAGGGAAGACACTTTGTTTTGTAAGGTATGGTGGAGGACATTTATGATCCTGCAGGTAGCATCAGGAGCCTGTCAACCTACAAATCACACTTGACCTGCGTTGATCAATGAGGGAAGCCATCTTGCTATGCGGTTGGCTATGATCTTAGCATAAATTTTCAAGTCTGTGTTCAATAATGATATAGGGCGGAAGTTTTGTGGGTGATTTGGTTCTTTCCCTGGTTTTTTAAGGGTAATGATGGTTGTGTTTAGCATCTCTGGAGGAAGAGAGGCAGAAGACGCTGCAGCATTAAATATTTTTTTCTAAATATGGGCTCAGTTCTGTCATGTGTAGACGGTAATTTTCTGCTGTGAGCCCATCAGGGCCGGAAGATTTGTTTGTAGGTAAGGACTTTATGGTATTGTCTATTTCAGTTTTAGAAATAGATTGATTCAGTTTGGTCAGCTGAGATGCGGACAGTGTAGGTAAGTCCACTGATTTTAAAAATGTGTTAATACCTAATGTACTAGGTTGGGGGAGTACGGTGGCTATTTTTTAGGTTGTGTAATGTTTCATAATAGGCTCTAAATGTGTACGTGTTTTCTTGCAGATTATATAGACGTTTTTTAGTGAGTGGATGAATAATAGATGATTTCTGTTTGTAGGTTCTCTCCTTAACTTGAGATGCCAAAAGCTTGCCAGCTTTGTTTCCA